GGCAAAGAGGAAGTCAAACTCTCACTCTTTGCAGATGATATGATACTGTATGTGGAAAACCCAAAAGACTCCAACCCAAAACTGCTAGAACTCATACAGGAATTCAGTAAAGTAGCAGGATATAGAATCAATGCCCAGAAATCAGTAGCATTCCTATACACCAACAACAAGACAGAAGAGAGACAAATCAAGGAGTCGATCCCATTTACAATTGCACCCAAAGCCATAAGATACCTAGGAATAAATTTAACCAAAGAGGCAAAGGATCTGTACTCAGAAAACTATAAAATACTCATGAAAGAAATTGAAGAAGATACAAAGAAATGGAAAAACATTCCATGCTTATGGATTGGGAGAACCAACATTGTGAAGATGTCCATGCTACCTAGGGCAATTTACACATTCAATCCAATCCCCATCAAAATACCATCCACTTTTTTCAAAGAAATGGAACAAATAATCCTAAAATTTGTATGGAACCAGAAGAGACCCCAAATAGCCAGAGGAATGTTGAAAAAGAAAAGCAAAGCTGGCAGCATCACAATTCCGGACTTCCAGCTCTATTACAAAGCTGTCATCATCAGGATAGTGTGGTACTGGCACAAAAACAGACACATAGATCAATGGAACAGAATCGAGAGCCCAGAAATGGACCCTCAACTCTATGGTCAACTTATCTTTGACAAAGCAGGAAAGAATGTCCAATGGCAAAAAGACAGTCTCTTCAACAAATGGTGTTGGGGAAATTGGACAGCCACATGCAGAAGAATGAAACTGGACTGTTTCCTTACACCACACACAAAAATAGATTCAAAATGGTTGAAAGACCTAAACGTGAGACAGAAGTCCATCAAAATCCTAAAGGAGAACACAGGTAGCAACCTCTTCGATCTCAGCCACAGCAACTTCTTCCTAGAAACATCGCCAAAGGCAAGGGAAGGAAGGACAGAAACGAACTATTGGGATTTCATCAAGATAAAAAGCTTTTGCACAGCAAAAGAAACAGTCCACAAAACCAAAAGACAACCAACAGAATGGGAGAAAATATTTGCAAATGACATATCAGATAAAGGGCTAGTATCCAAAATCTATAAAGAACTTATCAAACTCAACACCCAAAGAACAAATGATCCAATCAAGAAATGGGCAGAAGACATGAACAGACATTTTTCCAAAGAAGACATCCACATGGCCAACAGACACATGAAAAAGTGCTCAACATTGCTCGGCATCAGGGAAACGGAAATCCAAACCTCAATGAGATACCACCTCACACCAGTCAGAACGGCTAAAATTAACAAGTCAGGAAACGAGAGATGTTGGCGGGGATGCGGAGAAAGGGGAACCCTCCTGCACTGTTGGTGGGAATGCAAGCTGGTGCAACCCCTCTGGAAAACAAGATGGAGGTTCCTCAAACAGTTGAAAATAGAGCTAGCGTTCGATCCAGCAATTGCACTACTGGGTATTTACCACAAAGATACAAATGTAGGGATCCGAAGGGGTACGTGCACCCCAATGTTTATAGCAGCAATGTCCACAATAGCCAAACTGTGGAAAGAGCCAAGATGTCCATCGACAGATGAATGGATAAAGAAGTGGTATATGTACACAATGGAATATTATGCAGCCATCAAAAGGAATGAGATCTTGCCATTTGCAACCACGTGGATGGAACTGGAGGGTTTTATGCGGAGTGAAATAAGTCAATCAGAGGAAGACATGTATCATATGACCTCATTGATATGAGGAATTCTTAATCTCAGGAAACAAACTGAGGGTTGCTGGAGTGGTGGGGGGTGGGAGGGATGGGGTGGCTGGGTGATAGACATTGGGTAGGGTATGTGCTATGGTGAGCACTGTGAATTGTGCAAGACTGTTGAATTACAGATCTGTACTTCTGAAACAAATAATGCAACATATGTTAAGAAAAAAGAAAAAGAAGAAGATAGCAGGAGGGGAAGAATGAAGGGGAGTAAGTCAGAGTGGGAGACGAACCATGAGAGACGATGGACTCTGAAAAACAAACTGCGGATTCTATAGGGGAGGAGGGTAGGGGGATGGGTTAGCCTGGTGATGGGTATTAAAGAGGGCACATTCTGCATGGAGCACTGGGTGTTATGCACAAACAATGAATCATGGAACACTACTCCAAAACAAATTATGTAATATATGGTGATTAACATAACAATAAAAAATTAAAAAAAAATAAGAAAGTGTGTCTGGAGGGAACATAAAGGGTGTGGCCGGACAGCCACTTGCTACGGGAAGCCAATGAAGTTTTTGAGAATTTATTAGCAGTGGAAGTACTGACAATTTAGACTAAACAGAGAGAGGATGAAATGAAGGCAGATTCTACAGGACAGGCCAATAGAGCCATCTGCCTTGTTATCCTTCAAGAAGGGGGCAGAATGATCCTGAAAGCAGTTCGGAGGTCCCCATGGCCTTCAGGGTGGGACTCTCTCCTCCTCAGTTACAGAGGGCAGGGCCACTTCCTCAGTTACAGAGGGCCAAGCTGCTGTGGCTACACTCAGGGCCCAGGGGATGGGATAGCCTTCCTGGTGGGCTCAGAAGGTAGGGCCACTCTGGTGGGCACAGAAGAATAGAATTATTCTTCAGCCTTAAAATCTAATGGAATTTGCTTTGCACTCAGACTTGCTTGAGACCCATGACTCCTTTCTTCTTTCCAGTTTCTCCCATCTAGAGTGGGAAATGTCAATCCAATGCCTCTCCTATGTGTTGCACTTTGGAAGCAGATAACATGCCGGGTTTCACGGGTTCACAGCTGGAAAAGAATTTTACCTCAGGATGAATCATTGCTCAAGTCTTGCCTGCACCTAAGTTAGATGATATTTAGAGGAGATTTTGTATTCAGAGTTGATGCTGGAATGGGCTAAGACTTTTGTGGCTGCTAGGATGGGCTGAATATATGTTATACCTGAGAAGGACATGAATTTGAGGAACCAAAATGTGAAAGGTTGTGGGCTGAGTTGTGTCACCCCAAAATTCATATATTGAGGTCTTAACTCCTGTACCTCAAATTGTGACTGTATTTGGAGATTGGAATTTAAAGAGGCAGTTAGGTTAAAATGAGGTTATTAGGGTGGACCATAATCCAGTATGACTGGTACCCCTATAAGAAGAAATTTAGACATTGACATGTACAGAGGGAAGACCGTGTGAAGAAGAGGGAGAAGACAGCCATCTCCGAGGCAAGGAGCGAGGCCTCAGAAGAACCCAACTCTGCCAATACCTTGATCTCAGACTTCTAGCCTCCAGACCTGTGAGAAAATTGATTCTGGTGTTCAAGCCACCTGGTCTATGGTATGCTGTTATAGCAGCCTTGGCAAACTAATACACCTATCTATGTGGCAGTACCTCTCTGTCTTGATTAATGTAGCTTTATAATAAAGACATTCCATAATGAGTAGAGGTAGGGAGAGTAGATGTTCAAACCTTGATCCTGATCTTAAGGGAGAGCATTCAGTCTTTTTTTTTTTTTTTTTTTTTTTGCTGCGCCTCTAGTTTATTTATTTTTTTAAGTTAAATGTTGTTAGTTAACATACAGGGCAATATTGGTTTCTTAGAGTAGAATTCAGTGATTCATCACTTACATACAACACCCAGTGCTCATCACAAGTGCCCTCTTTCATCGGGTATGATGTTAATTTTAGTTTAGATTTTCTTTCTTTTTTCTGAAAATGCTGTTCATATAATGGAGGAAGTTTCCTTTTAGTCTTAGTTTGCAGAGGGCTTCTGTCATGAATGGGCATTGAAATGATCATATGATTTTTCCATTTTATTCTGTTAATGTGGTGAATTACACTGGTTGATTTTTGAATGTTGAACTAACCTGGAATTGCTTAGATAAAACCCACATAATAATCTTTTTGAAATCTTGCTGGATTGGTTCCACTAATACTTTATTGAGGATGGTTGCATTCACGTTTATGATGGTCTTCAGTTCTAGGCAATTTTGGGGAATTATGTAATTGATTTCATACCTGGGTATAGCCATTCATTAAAAATGACTTTTAAAAATATTGTTTCCCATGATTTCTAGGTAAGCACTGCTGGAAGATGCTCCTTTGAAATACCATCTTTTCTTCTGCTGAGAAAATGGCTAAATAAGATTATTTTACTATGTTTCTTCCTTTTGCAGAAGAGAGCTTATTGATTTCTAGTTTATATTTTATAGCCATGTGATGAAGAGTTAAAGGAATATAGTGTATATAGATATTTTAAAAAGTATTATAATTTGTTTTATTTTGCCATTACATATAATACTTAGAATTTAAAGCTTCAAGTCACAAAAATTTAGAATTTTTGGATCCTGTCTTTTGGCATTTTGTGGAAATCCACACTAGCCTTCTTGTATGCTTCATTGTGTTGAAAAAAGTAATTTATGTATTTTTTTCTAACTTAAGGGTTGGGTGGGATGAATGAAACTGGCAGATACTCAGGTACCTTCTCTCTTTCTCTGTAGCCTTGCCAAAATTGTCTGTAAATGTTTGATGAATATGAGAGCAGCGCAAGATACTATCTTAGATCAAGCTGTATTCATTCTGTGTTAGTGACAAAATGGGTTGATTTTTGTCCCTTAGACCTTTCCTCTTGCCCTCATTTTGTGGTCTCTCCTTGATTTCTCAGGTCTTGTGTCATTGTCTGTGCTTGGTATTAAATCATGGGGAGGAAGCTGGACCTGTCTGGTCTGACCGATGACGAAACGGAGCATGTTCTCCAGGTGGTTCAGCGAGACTTCAATCTTCGAAAAAAAGAGGAAGAACGGCTAAGGTGAGATGCTTCTGTTGCCCTCCTGGGTACTGTGAGACAGCTTTCCTGAGAGTGTTCCTTGCTGCTAGCCCTAAGTTTGAAGTCTTTATGCCATGTACACACACTTCTGTTTACAGGAAGAATGCCCTGTCCTTTGTAGAAAGGTTCACCAGTGTCAGCACTGGGCACCGTAATGTCAGTTCAGAAACGTGACTGTTCACACTCCCTGTCAAGGTTTTCTTTGGGTTGCTACCCTCTACGTTTTTAGCTGTAGGAAGTTTGTGATGGCAGTGGCTGTTTTGAGCTTGCGCCTGCCTTTTTAAAGTTTCCTGTTGGCAGATATTACTGAAGAATAACGAAAGTGTTAGGTGAACTGCTCTTGAGAGAATTAGACTCACACCTGTACAATCTTCTGCTAGAGAGCCCAACTCCTGTGGTACAGGAAAAGAGCTCAGAAGACCTGGGATGGGGAAAGGGCCCACTGTACCAGGCTGCGATTGCCTGGCCCAGCACCACCCTCCTCATTTTAGAGAGGAGGAAACTGAGGCCCAGAGAGGAGCCCTTCTGACTCTCCCATTGGCATTTCCTTGTGGAATGTTCTGGGAAGTACCCCTATTGCTGTTCAGTTGGGTAGAGATATCTAAATGCGGAAGAAGTCAGAGTGACCAAAATGAGGTCATGTGTTGGGTCTAGTATGTCGGAACTAGACGGTAAGTCATCATTAGCTGTCCTCATTCATCCGTCTGTTATCCCTCAGGATTACATGGGTTTATCATGGTACCATCTCCTTCCTTAGCCACGGAGCTCAAAACTCCAGTCTTTGTAATTCTTCCCCTGACTTGGTCCCCACACAGGCCTGGGCCAGGCACTGTTGATTCTGCTTCCTCACCTTCTGTCCTGACCTTCCCCGGGTCTAGCTTTTATCACTGTCCTCCGGGGAATTGCAATAATCTTATGACCTTCCACCTCCACTCCTCCAAATAGCCAGGGTTGTGCCACATCTGAGCCCCAACTGGGTCCTCTCCCACTCAGCTTAAAATTGGTGTGGATTGTTTTCCTTTTCCCTTGGGATACCTCAGACTTTCTGTTTCTTTACAGTATTTCCTCCCTTACTAGATTATAAGCACTGTGGTATAATCATCTTTGTTTTTACCACATTTTGTTTGTCTCTCGTGTTGTTTGTATTCAATATGTGCTTGTTAGAGGAAGACAAAAAAGCCCTGATAATTAAATAATTAATTGATTTGTAGACCATGTGCCAGGCACTGTTCAATCTGTTGGGCAAATGGTGAGCAAAACCGTTCTTTGCTCCATGGAGTTTGTATTCCAGAGCTGAGCTGACAAATACCATAGCCACCACTCATGGGTGGCGACCGAGCCCTTGAAATGTGGTGAGCCTGAATTGGGATGCACTGTAAGTGAAAGATACACACCAGATTTCAAGTTTAGTACCAAAAAAGGTATAGTATCTTCTTAATATTTTTATATTGATTTCACTTTGAAATGCTCCTGTTTTATCTATATGAGGTGAAATAAAAAACATAAGTAATTTTCCCTGTTTCTTTTTATTTCCTTTAGTATGGCTACTAGAAAATTCAAAATTATGTATATGTCTCACATTATGTCTCTACTGGATAGCGCTGCTCTAGAGGGAGGAGAGGGAGGGGAAATGAACAAATAAAAATGTATTTATATATATTCGATAGTGGTGAGAGCCATGAAGAAAAATAAAGCAGGGAAGGGTGCAGAGCCTGGTGGGGGTGGCAGGCGCTGTTTGTCCATGGGCTGCTCAGGGAAGACCTCTCTGGGGACGTTTGGGCAGATATCTGAAAGAAACGAGGGAGGAAGCTTGCTGCTCTCTGGGGCGACATCAGGCACAGCAGAGGGAACTACAGATGTCACGTTTCTGACTCAAGGACATGCCTTGTCTGTTTTCTGAGGAACTAGGAAGGAATGAGCCAGGAAACCACTGTATGGAACAAAGTCTCAGCAACAGCCTGAGCCCAAACCTTGTAGTAAGTAGTGAATCTGTGGGAAAGCCCTGCATCTTACTCTAGCCTGAGGAATCACAGAGTTTTCAGCACAGGAGTGACATGACCTGATATCTGCTTTATATAGGGTCACTGTGGCTGCTTCGTGGGGCAGACATCATAGAAAAAAGGCAGGACAAGCAGCTTAGAAACTGACAGGAAGCCGCAGTGCAGGTGAAAGGTCGTGCTTTCTCAGAGCTGGGGAGGGGCAAGGGGTGGTGAGTGGTGGTCAGATCCTGGAAACATGTCAAAGGTAGAGCCTGTGGGATTTGCATTTCCTTATTGGGATAGGAAATGTAAGAGGGAGAGTCAAGGAGGACTGTGAGTTTGTGGCTTGGGCGACTGGGAAAATGAAGTTGCCTTTCACTGAGTGGAAGGACTGAAAAGCAGAGAGTTGGCAGGCAGCTGGAACTGAGCTCTGTCTTAAATATCTTCAACTTGAGATCATTTTTAGACATCCAAGTAGAGATGTCAAGTTGTCATTTGTATATTTTCATCTAGAGTTCAGGTGGGAAATCCAAGGCAGAGACGAAAATTTTGTAAAGGAAATGGTCACCAAAGGCCAGGAGAGTAGGCAGAGCTGGGGCGTATAGTACAATGCCAGTCAACACTAAGACTGTTTGGAATTTGTGGCCACTAATTTACATTGAGACCAATTTCAGCACAGTAGTGTGTGTTTCTTCTCCATGATTCAGCTTCTCTCCTCACCAGGACCATCAACAAGAACCATGTCTCCCTCAGTCTTGTGTCCCAAGCTCTGGGCACTGGGCCTGGCCCATAGTGGACATGCCCTAAGTATCTGTGGAACGGATGGATACATGTAGATAGTCTGTCAATCTATATGGCCAACTTTATATGTGGCTTGAAGAATCAGTCTTAATATTTTCTAGGAATCCTTAAGACCATCTGTGTATCATGCTTCATCTCCTGGAAACTCAAATATGGGTAAGCCACAAACTTACCTAGTGTTTTCTGATTGTGGACACTTGTCTTAGCTCCACTGAAGTCACATGCAAGTCTCTGTAGAAGACTTGCTTTATGCTTGGTTTGGGGAGAAGTGTTAAAATGCAGTGAAGTTGCCGTTGCAGTTGAAGTGGCGCCTTCTTTCTGTTGAGGTCATGTGGCCTTAGTAGCCAGTAGTCAGCAGCTCTGCTGCAGTTCCACACAAATGCATGATCATGGGAACCTGCACGTGTTGGGGAAAGAATGATACTTGAAGCCACCAGTGTCTAACGAGGAGTGACCCAGCACCTCTTCTGGTCCTGGGAATGGATGGTTTTCCTCTGAAGATAGCCATCACTCATGGCCCAGTCAGCATGCCTCCCTGGGTGCCTACCAAACTCAGAATGATTTTGGCATAGGACCTTACTATTGGATAAGAAGAGGTTGAGACAACACCACCTCAAAACCAATGAAATCATCAAACATTTGCCTCACCTTTTCCATATTGCTTGGATTTAGGGTGCATGGGAGAGTCTAGGAAGCTGTGTTATAGCAGGCATTTTTGAATTTTTTAATATTTGCTTTAATGAACATAAGACTCAGAATGGAGGATTTTTAATTTTAAAGTTTTAAATTGAATTACATATCTTTTCTCCTGACCAGCTTTTTTTTAATTTACCTAGTTTCTCAGATGAGCTTTCATGGGGGTAGCTCTTGGGTATAGAGGTTATACGTTGTTTCTGATGATCATCAGTGTGGACATAAAGTGTAGTAAACACATAGGTGGTGGAAGTGTGAATTAAATGTCCTCAGAACATAAGGAGAGGTAGTGGGGCTGAAGAACTCAGTACAATTAGGTCATTGAAATGAATTCACAAAAAGAGAACTAAAAGGTGTAAAGCAGTCACTGTGAACTGGCACTGCCCTGGGTACTCTGCAAATTCATCTTATTGACTCCTTGCAGGAGTCCCTATAAGGTGGATCTCCATGTTACATGGAAGAACCTGAGCACAGAGAGGTTGCAAGGCTTGCTCAGAATAGCACAGTTCATCGGGGGGTAGAGCCAGAATTTTGTTGCCCAAATTCTCTCAGTTATATAGCCTCGATTAAACCTTTTCATACTGCTTCCCTCCCTTCCTTCTTCCCTCTCCCCTTCTCTCCTTCCTTCCTTCCTTTGTTCTCTCCTTCCTCTACACCCATTCCCCCAGCCCCTCCTTCCCCCTTCCCTTGCTTTCCCTTTCCTTCCCTTTCTTTTTTTGTGGTTAGGATTTTGTTTACCCAAGAGATAGCCAGAGGTGGTGAAGAGAGCCTTGTTTTAGAGTTTGGAAATGTGAGTTTGGGTCTTAGCATGAGCCTCCACCTTTGGAAACACACTTAATCTTACTTCAATATAACTTGCTCCTCTGTAAAATGGGACTAGGGGCACCTGCCCTATCTAGTCCATTATGTTGTCATAAATACTGAAATAAGTGATGTATTTAAAAGTGCTTTATGAGTTGTTAAAAATACATGAGGGTAGATGGGAGTAACTGACATAGATAGGAGGAAAATGTTGGCAGGTAGTGGAAACACCGTGATTTGGGGGAGCCTTCCAAGATGGAGAGCTAGGATGGCATCCTCATGAACTGGAGCAATGGGCAGGTAGAACGGACAGTCTGCACCTTCAGCCAGGATCTCTCTCCTGAGTTCAGGCCTGCAGAGTTTGCCCTTGAGGAGTGGGAGCACAAGCCTTCCGGATGGCTCTCTTAGACATCCCACAGGTACCTCAGCCTGCCGTGCCCCAACAGTGCCCTCTCCCAAGGGGTCAAAGGATGGGGAGTCACAGACACTGGCCTGACTTTGCAGACCGGCTGGCTCACTGGCCTTCAGCAGGAGGAGCCCCAGGCTTTTCAGGGCCTTTGGGATCCCACAGACACACCTGGAAGGTCCCATATGATTTAGTGTACTCTGGACAGACTTAAAAAATATATAATTATATTTGTTTTGTTTTTTTTAAGATTTTTTTATTTATTTTTATTTGACACAGAGACAGAGATAGTGAGAGAGAGA